TTTTTACCACCCGGGAAGAAGGCTATTGATGCGAAGTGGGTGTTTAAAATCAAGTACTTTCCCGACGGTTCCATTGAGCGTTTTAAAGCCCGTCTTGTGGCTAAGGGTTTCACTCAACTGGAGGGCGTTGATTTTCATGACACGTTCGCTCCTGTGGCCAAAATTGTCACTGTTCGTGTTCTCATTGCGGTTGCAGTTAATCGCGGTTGGCCTCTTCACCAGTTGGACGTAAATAACGCGTTTCTCCATGGTGATCTGGAAGAGGAAGTGTACATGAATCTCCCTCCCGGTTTTGGTGCTCCCGGCGATACGCGCGTTTGCCGTCTCAAGAAATCAATTTATGGGTTGAAGCAGGCTTCTCGTAATTGGTATCAAAAATTTACCCTTGCTCTTTCTGAACTCGGTTTTCGTCCTTCTAAGGCAGATCCTTCGCTACTTATATATCGCCAGGGGGAGACATTTGTTGCGGCTTTAATATATGTAGACGACGTGATCTTGACCGGCACGGATCAAGGGTTCATTGCTAAAGTCAAGCGGTTCTTGGATGAAAAGTTCAGTATCAAGGACTTGGGGGCTTTGAAATATTTTCTTGGTATAGAGGTGGCGCGGTCATCGGACGGTGCAGTTTTGAGCCAAAGGAAGTACACTTTGGACATACTAAACGATGCAGGTGTTGCGGGATCACGCCCAAGTAATTTTCCCATGGAGCAGAATCACAATCTGACGAAACCAACGGACGCAGTGGCAGAAGATGTTAGCAGCTACAGACGATTGGTGGGTCGCCTTCTCTATCTCACGGTGACTCGGCCTGATATATCGTATGCAGTTAACATATTGTCTCAGTTCGTTAATTCGCCTAGTCCAGAGCATGTAGCTGCGGCAATGAGGGTACTACGGTATCTGAAGAAGTCTCCTGGGCAGGGATTATTCTTCCCAGCAGATGGGTCGCTTGAGCTTACTGCGTATTGTGATGCTGATTGGGGTGGTTGTCAGGCAACTCGTCGATCCACCACAGGGTACTATATACAGTTGGGAGGTGCTCCTGTTTCCTGGAGAACGAAAAAGCAGAAGGTGGTATCCAGGTCTTCGGCAGAGGCAGAGTATCGGGCAATGGCAAGTACCGTCAGTGAAGTCTTATGGCTTAGGTTTCTTCTGGAAGAACTTGGGATTCCGCAGACGAACGCCACGCCCTTACATTGTGATAACCAGGCTGCGCTTCACATTGCAGCTAATCCTGTTTTCCATGAGCGCACGAAGCACGTAGAAATGGACTGTCATTTTGTGCGTGAGCGCGTAGTGTCAAAAGAGATAGCACCGGTGAAGATTGATAGTTCTTCTCAGCTGGCCGACATCTTCACCAAAGCCTTGGGCACGGATCAATTTCATCATCTTCTCTGCAAGCTTGGCATTCGAGATCTACATGCTGCAGCTTGAGGGGGAGTGTTGAACCGTGTATCTCTTTGTACCTACTTTATTCTTTGAGGACCTTTTTGTTATTTTCCCTCTTAACCTAATTACCCTAGAACGTTGTTGATGGGTATATTAGGAGTTGAGTTCTGCCGCATGATGTAAGTTAAGCAGCTCACATACTGCGAACACTAATAAGATAACCTGAGAGCTTCGGCTCTCCGTGGAGTAGTCTCGTTCATACTGAACGGGGAAACCACGTAAAATCGTTGTGTTGTGCTTCCGCGTTTTAGTAGATTTTACACGAACCGCCTAGATGTATCTAAACCTAAGATTGAATGCGCCTTTTTGAACCATTCCCAAAAGTAATCCGCTTAAGGGGAACCAAGTACAACAAACATAACTAACAACAGCAATAATAGTATACCTTTCTCGGCCTTTTGGGTAAGATCAACAGTAGTATAAAAAATTTACCACCACATTGTTTCATGTGTTAGATGGATAAATTAAAAAAAAAATACAACAATCGTTTTTATAACTAAATACTTTATCCGAAAAAACCTAAATATTTCAAGCAAGATCCAAACCTTAACATTGCATACTTGCTCCTGGTTGGAAGTTAGTGTAAAGCAATTGGCAAGACAGCTGCTAACCGCTTTGGCATCATCCACGTTGTGAAAGAAGTATTTGCAAATAGTATTGTTGTGAAAACCAACGTGATTTGATTGAGAATCTCTACATGTAATTATACACGTACAAGAGAGGCTTTGTAGCAACAAATACAGCCCACATTCCAGAGAAGTAGGAACAGAATGTAGTGGGATAAAACAATAAAAATAAAAGAATAAATTCTTTTATGATGTATCTCTAATACGACCCCGCAAGACGGTGGAGGTATCAACAACACCGATCTTCGATCTAAGTAGAAGAAACCGGGTTGATAGGAGAGGCTTCGTGAGTGTATCGGTGAGATGTTGGGCAGTCAGAATGTAGGAGACCCGAATTCGACCAACCGGGACCAACTGACGAACGAAATGATAGTCTAATGCGAGGTGCTTCATGCGAGAGTGAAACACCGGATTGGAGCTGAAGTAGGTGGCACCCAAGTTGTCAGAATAGAGAGTCGGTGAGGATGGTAATGGATGACAAAGCTCGAGGAGTAGATTCTGAATCCACTCTAGTTCAGCAGTAGCATGAGGGATGGCACAGTTTTCAACCTCGGTGCTGGAGTGAGCTATGGTGCATTGTTTCTGAGACCGCCACGAAATGAGAGTAGAGCCAAGATAAATAAGGTAGCCGGAAGTAGACGATTGATCATCAAGATCCCCAGCCTAGTCAGAGTCGGCAAAGGCAGAGAGTGAAAGAGCACCGAAAGTGCGGCGGATGGAGAGACCATAGGAAAGAGTGTCAGAGACATAATGGAGCAGGCGTTTGACACATTGCCAATGATAAGTCGATGGTGAATGCATAAACTGTTAGAGCTTAATAACAGAGAAGGCAATGTCATCTTCTTATCATCCCCTTCGACCTATCTTCTAGGTTTATGTTATGGCCAGAAATAGAACGACCCGAAACCCAAACAATGTCATTTGTAGAGTACTGGTCAGACGATGAAGATGAAGAGGAGCGCCACTTGCTTAGCCTCATCTTGCTTACAGTGCATCGCACCCATTGCTAGATTTGTGTAAGAAATTACTTATTTTCCACCTCACCGAAAAAAGATGGATCTAGGGAGGGGTGAAAGCTACTTCTTTAAGATGAAAGTGGTGGCGTTGTTGGGAGAGCTGACATTCACCGGGTAGGGTGGTTGTCGAGACGGAATCTACACTCCGGTTGTGTGAGCTTCGAGCCGGTTAAGTAACAGAAGCTATGGGTGAAAGCACACTCGTCATTCTCAGACGTGAGGTCGAGGTACGTGAGACTGCCTTCCTCCGGCTCTGCCGCACCATACCCTCTTCGTATTTCTCGCGAGAAATCTATGTAGATTGGCTTCCGATGGTTGGGGTTATTTTGGTTGGAGATGAGAGTGCCACGACCAAAATCCCGCCACCCCCTACCAATCTCTAGACTAAAAGTTTCAACTCCCTCCAAATCTCGCTCCCCTTTACCATATCCCTCATTTTGTCAGCGAAATCCGCGCATGTCTAGAAACAGAGTAAATCAAGCTTCATAGTCCCTTTCGTGCCCTCACCTTCCCTTCATGGATCAGGACTTCTTCGTTTGTTAACAAAAAAAAGGGACCAGTTACAGTAACAACACCCATTGTGTTGTTATTATAACAACACCAGTCTCCAACCAATAGGAAGTTAGGGTTGTGATGACTTTTTATTAGATGAGTTAACCTAGTGTAAAATCAAAGTAGGGGTATAATTGTCATTATGAAAAATATGTTTAAATAATAATAAAAAAATAAAAAAAATATTTTTCTTATTTTTCGGCCCAAAATTTTGGTCGCCGGAATTCAGCCATCGGTCGCGCGGTCACCGGAAAATGCTTTTTGTCGCCGGAATATGCTATTTTGTCATCGGAATATGCCACCGTCGCCGGAATATGCTCACCGTGGTCGGAATATGCTTACCGGCGTCGGAATCTAGTCATCGGGGCCGAGATATTCATATCAGCGCCGGAATCTACTCACTGACGGTCAACGGTCTTCGTTGACCGGTCAACGGCCAACGACCACCGGATGTTATGGTTTGTGAGATTTATGGTTTGGTTTCTCATATTTTTGTATGCCTTTTGTGGTTTGCTTTATCGTGTTTGTGGTTTGCATTAAGAAGTTTCTGGTTTGCTTTATCGTGTTTGTGGTTTGCATGGAGAAGTTTCTGGTTTGCTTTAAAAAACTTTGTGGTTTGCATTGTCAGGTTTCTGGTTTGTTTTAATATATTTGTGGTATGCATTAGGACGTTAATGGTTTGGTTTTTTGTGGTTTGATTTACTGTGTTTGTGGTTTGCATTAGGAGGTTTCTGGTGTGCTTTCACAAATGTTGTGGTTTGCTTTGTGAGGTTTGTGGTTTGTTTTGGAGATTTGTGGTATGCATTAGGAGGTTTCTGGTTTGCATTAAGAAGTTTCTGGTGTGTTTTCGAAACTTTTGTGGTTGCTTTGCGAGGTTTCTGGTTTGTTTTAATATATTTGTGGTCTACATTGGGACATTTTTGGTTTGCTTTACCGTGTTTGTGGTTTGCTTTAGAAATTTTCTGGTGTGCTTTGCAAAATATTTATGGTTTGCTTTGTGGGGTTTCTGATATGTTTTAGCGAATTTGTGGTTTGCATTAGAAGGTTTTCGGTATGTTTTTTTGTGGGTTGTTTTATTGCGTTTGTGGTTTGCACTGGGGTTTTTTTTTGTGTTAGAAATATTTGTGATTTTGTTTATTCTGTTTTTTATTGGTTTTAGTGATTTGTGCTCTGCATTAGGAAAATTATAAAATTGACTTGTACTCACAAATTGCAATTACAAGTGAACTAAATTGGTATATTGCAATGAAAATTAAAATGAGTAAAATTGCAGTAATTGGCTTTTCAATTTCATTGACCCGAGATGCAATTCTTCAAATTTTCATATGGTATTTAGGCTCGACCATTTCATTTTTTTGGACAAAGCTCAAGGCCACCGGTTGGCCGCTACCCTACAGACAGCCTTTCTCAAAGATTGGACCTTCCACCATCCCCGCCCTGCATCAAGTCCAAGAAGAAACCCTCACTGCCACCATTTCCTCCACAAAATCAGCCGCGCTAAAACCCTTCCTTTTTTCTCCCGACGATCAATCCAATCCCGGCGAATTGCGGGGAGGAAAACCCTGTCGAATTTCGAATTCCCAGGTCAGTTTATTTGTTGGCGGAAGAGATGCATCGCCGCTCCTCATTGCTCATGCTCCTATGCTAATCAAACGAATAGATCCCAATCCCCAGCACTGCCATCGACAGAATCGACATTTTCGGCCTGTATTTGGATGTTCTTCGTCGTTCTGACTGCCGCACCACTTGACAGAACTGTCAGCGTTGTCTTGCTCCCAGCACGCGTCAACTCCACAATCAAGCTTGCGTTGGATGTTCTTCGCCGTTCTGATTGCCGGCACCACCCGAATCTCCAGTGGCCTTCAAATGCTGATGACGAAAACAGGGATGATTGCAGGGCGGAAGGACGAAGAAAGGATGGAGACGAAAACAATCTGGAATTGTTTAAGGCAGTGGGAAAGGGGAAGACGCGTGCGGATAATAACTTCAATTTTTAGTTTTATTATTTATTGGGTTAATGGACCCTTTTACCCTTGTTGTTATTATAACAACACTTCTAGTGTTGTTATAGTATCCGGACCCACAAAAAATCCCTTCATCTACAACAGCAGCGGCTGCTTCTTCGACATAGTTGTGGGTTTTGGTTAGTGAGGGTTGTTGAGACCTAATTTCTGTATCTGGCAAGTCAGTAGTAAATTCTGGAACGGCAACAGAACTACGGTGGTTGTGGTTTAGTTGATACTTCGATGGCCGAACTTCGCCGTCAATTTTCTGAAGGAAGGGGGCTAGGTTGGTTAAGACTTAAGTCGATGGAAGAAGTGAAGGGTAATGGTGGTTTATTTTTGGATTAGGGTGATATAAGTTTTTACTTTTTTTTTTTTGTGATTAAGATACTATAAGGGATTTGAACTTGACACCTTCAAGTTCTAGGCTAGTGATATTATTATTAGACCAAACCCTGGTTTATTAAAATTAAAAGGTAGAAAATTGGAAGAAAAAAGTAATGGTGAGCTATTTCAAAATAGCTGGGGTCGGCTGTTTCGAAATCCCACAATTGGAGGATTTCGAAATCCTTCGTGGTTAAAAATCTCTATCTTTCTAGTCTTCCCAAACATAGAATAGAATTATATGACAAAATTCGAGAAGGTAGAGGATTGTTACCCCGTAATTCCCATCTAGTAGACACATAAAATTGTATATTACCAAAAACAGATAACAAGACCATAAAATTCAGTTGGTGGATTCAACAAGGTACTGAGAAGTACTGTAAAATCAAACAGACAGCCACCAGCATTTCTTCTAACAAGCATGCAAAAGTGGATAACGGTGGGGGGTGGAGTAAGTAGTTCACATGCTAAAACCATTGACAGTGAGTCCTCCATCAACAAAAATGACTTGACCTGTAATATAACAGGCAGCCGGCATGCACAAGAAGGCCACCAATGGCGACACCTCCTCTGGCTCTGCGATCCGACGCAGGGGAGTCCGATTCACCACTGCTGCCAGAAACGCTTCATTTTCAAAAGCCTATACATATACCACACAGACAGTTAGCCCAGAATTAGAGACTTGGACAAGACGACAACAACCTCAAAAAACTGAAACCCTTTTAGCCCCCCATTCAATCATCTTTCACCTCTGCGACCATTGGAGTCCTAGTGTACCACGGCGCGACAGAGTTGGTCCTTATGTTGTCCTTGGCCCATTCACATGCCAAATTCCTCGTCAGCTGGTCGATTGCTCCTACATTCTCCACGCACCAAATGTTAAGCTTCGAATCAATAAGAAGCCAGCACGAGCTACTGTCAAAGAAAGAAGAAGAAGAAGAAGAAAAGGGCATACCTTTGGATGCGTTGTAAGCTGAGAGGCAGGGCAAAGATGTCGAACCGCCGACGGAAGAAATGAACACGATGCTTCCGGACCCAGAAGATTTGAGGAGAGGATGTGCGAGCTGGCACAAATGGAAACCGGACTCGAAATTGGTTTCCCACACACTCGACAGCTCCTCTGCTGTGACTTCTGTGGTTGGCTTATAAAGCCCTCTTGCAGCATTGTTCACCTGGACTCGGTAAATTTTCATCTAATTAGATTCGCTACTGGGAACCTCTTTGATGTTGTCATTCATTGTCAGGAGACTTACAAGTATGTTAAGGCTGCCGGAGAAGAGAGAAGAGACAGCGTCCATGAGCTTCTCCCGTTGAGCTCGAGAGGAAACGTCGCAGACGGAACCGGTGATTTTGTCGAAACCCTTTTCTCTCCAGCCGTTGATGCGTTGATTGAGCTCCTCCTGGCTGCGGGAGCAAGTGTGAACGGTCGCCCCTAGCTTTGCCAATTCCTCCACTATGGCGGCTCTGAAATGCATATGCTCGATGAAATTGGGAAGCAAGGAGAATTGGGTGGAACAGAGAATGGAGGAATTTTACTAGTTTACTTTACCCAATCCCTTTGGTCCCGCCGGTGACGAGAGCAGTCATTCCGTCGAGAGACCATTTGTTTAAGGAGGCGATGCTGCTTCCTCCTTCACCCATATATGCTATTCCTGCCTGCTGCTTTCGATTTGGCTATGCTATTGTTTTGTTATGTTTTTTTGTCTTTCCCAACGAGATCTAGAATGCTATTATAGTTAGGTGAATCGTCATCTCGCCCTTTTGATTGAATGTCATTTTATTTGGAACCACACGATTTTTCCTTCTTGAATGGCAACCACAAGTTTGGCCTTCAACAATAAAGAGGCTGCTGAATGCTGATCAATAACCGGTTGGCCACGACCAACTACCTGAAATGAAGTGGTTATATAAGATATATAGATATCTCTCAAAAACTTGAATTATTGGGAGCAGTTCATTAATGATATGGCATTAGAGTTTTTTTTATCTTTGAGATCACATGTTTAAGCTCTCGTGATCTCCAATATTAATCGTGGTCTTTGGAAAATACATAGCATGCTGGCTTTGTACAAATTTCAAGCTCATAAGTTGGCTTTCGTTTGAGAGTCCATATAAGAAAGTGAATAACTACCATATATGGACTTGTTCCAACATTTGAGTTATTGGGAATTGGAACCAGTTGATTTTTGACTTACCAAGATCAAATCCAGACTTGCATACATTATTATGTGCAGAGACAGTTATGGATGTGATGACCAGATGAGAGGAAGATCACAAGAACCCTTGATCCCAAAATGTATTGCCTTATTGGACCGCAATTCTGTTGAGTTTGGCCCGGTTCAGACCGAACCATTGCACACCACTACCGGCAGGCAGCAACAAGGTCACGAGCTAGAGGTTACACGACATCATTTTTTTCTTTGGATTGCAAATTGTGTCTTTTTTCCGGTTTTCCCTTCTCCTAAAGGTACGTTTTGAATTCTAAGTTGAACATTTGAATATTGATGTTATATGATTGTATTTGAATTTTCACTGTATGTTGGATCCAAGTATGAACATATTTTGATTTAATGTTATATATTATTACTCATATGGTGGATGAGTTATTATATAATTGATAAATATATGAATAGTATAATGACTTTTTCATATATCCGGAGTGGAGTAAAATGATTAAATCATTAAATCTCGACTCACTTGCTCAACCGCATCCACAAGCTTAACCGGGTTGCCAACCTTCATCCTAGCGTAAAAGGCATCTCCTTTGGTTGGAGTTTTTGGCAATCTCATGTTGTTTGATGAAATTAAATTTGGAAGCTAGTATTGTCGTAAAATTGGCGGATTCTTCAACAAAGTCTCTTATTTTAGGTTTGTAGGTTTATGGTTGGGCAAATTCTATGGTGCCGTAACGGCACCGGTGCCGTCATAGTTTCTAACCGGTTTCATTAGTAGTTGTGGTTTGAAATGGTTGAAACCAGCTGGTTGGGTTATGCTTTTTGGGTGACGGAGCCAATGCCAAGAGCCAGAAACTCCGATTAAATCCTGCACCCTCAATTCTCCCAAGTTTACAATCGGAATTTCGGCCGCCGCGCGATGAACGAAATCGATATCTTGCACCCTCATTGTGGGAATCGAAATCGAAGTTGGATGCATGAATTTTGGCGCCGCGCGATGAGCAAAATATGTTTTCTGTTCATGTGTTCTTACCCGATCCTCCCATGGATTTCAGTAGTTTTTCCCTTAGTGATGCTGGTCGACGGCGGCGGGCGTGCTGCGGGAGAGGAACATGCAGAGGGTCTTGCGGCGGCGGAAGTGGATGACCGGGCTGGTGTGTGGCTCTGCCTGCGTATTCCCTGTCGATTCTCCGCACTGTGAAGCAAAATGCTTAAATCTCCCAGGGTCTTGTTCGTATGAGATGAAAGGGGAAAGAAGAGAAGGGAGGGGATCAGGGGATTAAGCTTTTCACTTTTGGTTTCAGGGAAGAGAAATCTTATTGCCGAAGATTGATTGAATCAGTCACTTTGTGAAGGATTTCAATACAAAATAGGTTCAACCAAACATTAGTGCCGTGCCTGCACCACAGAATTCGCCTTATGGTTGAGGAGTTTGGCTGGCATTTAGTGTTTCAGGGCTTACTTTAGGGTTAGAGTTTAGAGCTAGGATCTAAAATTTAGTCGTTAGGATTTAGGGTGAGAATTTTATTTATGGTTGTGGATGTAGGGTTTGGATTTCAATTATGGTTTTTTATTTCACTTGGCTTAATCCCAACAAGGAATATCTTGCTCACAATACTTAATTACCTTGTTTGTGTCATTCTGTATGAACTAAGAGATCACCCGAAATGAACTACGAGATCACCTGAAAGACACATTTGATATTTAGAGATCGCGAACCAATCATAAATTAAACAACAACTAATTATGGCTCTTGGCCCAGACAACGTCCTAAACGTAGGGGGGGCATCGAAGCATGAGGCTAGAAAGAGAAAGGTCAACTATTCTACATACAATGCTTCTCTAAAATAGAAGCATTTTTGTTGGTGTATTAAAGACCAGACGATAACGTTTACAATACTTCAATTTTCTTCGTAGATGCTACATAGTTGGTGTTATAATTGCGTTGCTACAGATCAAAAAATCGTCGAAATCGAGAAAGCAAGAATAGGAAAGCGAGAATCGAAAACAGACACACAATTTACGTGGTTCACTAACATAATGTGTTAGCTAGTCCACGGCAGGAGAGAGCCAATTTCACTATATCGAGGAGATTATAGATTACAGAGGAGATGGAAATATTTATACTTCTCCATGTGGGTCTAAACCTAATCTAATCTGGTAAAGGAAACGGTTACAGACCAGGCCCAAAACTGACAACCCAAACGTGTATCAACCATACACGGTGACTTCCAGTCGTAGCGACTGATTGTCCGATTCAAGTCACATCAAGAGTTGGTTTAATGCATATCTTGTGTGGTTCCCACTAATCAGTGTGTGACTGTTGGCAGAGCAAAGGGACAGAGGTAGCTGTGCTTCCCCCGCCAGCCTATATCTGTCACTCTCATTTTCTCTCGAGCTTGGGAGATGCTGGTCCTCTCTTGCCCAATGGCTTCTATAGTCTATTTGTCAATGGCTTCCGCTGTCGGCACTTCGGTGACCTTGACAGCCAATTTTTCGCTCACAAGGCAGTTATATTTTTTGCCAATCCTGTCTTTTGCCAACTTTTCAATTCGAGAAGAAATGGAAGAACTGGAACAGTTAAGGTGTGAGGGGGACTGTTAAAAGTTGTTCAATTTGGCCGTCAACAGAATTTTCCAGTTTGATGCCCTCCAAAACAAGGCACAGCATCAGCAATCTAAGGTAACATTAGTAATGAGGCAAAGAAGAAAGGGAAAGGAGTTGCAAGTCCAGAATGATACGCGGATCCTTCTACTACATGAAGAAGAAAACGAATAGGGGGAGAATACAACTTTCCCTTCTACCCCCATTGACGAAAACCTTTTGATAAAAGGAAAAAGGACGACGACGAGGAACAGCAGCAGCAACAAGACGAACTTAACAGAGAAAATTCCAAAGCTTTTCTACTAACTTGACACAACAACACCCTCCATCATGTCAACGCCAAACTAAATGCAAAACGGTGGTACTATCACGCACACGATGACCGCAAAGTATCAGGGAACATCAGACTTCCTTTTCGTCTCTTCTTTCCGACTTTAAAGTCCTGGGGTTTCCAGAGTTAGGGGCTTACATCCACATCGAACCTTCTAAATGCCCAGCATTGGCTTAAAGAATCACGTTTCGCATCACCAAAATCACATCTTCTTGCTGCTGTGTTCATCTTCGTCGCTCTTCAATGCCTTCAACTTTCTGTAACCTTTGTCGGTGCCAAATATCCTGATAGCCAAAGACAAGCAAAATGTAGCCTTACTTGACTGATAGCGGCTTATTAGAAAAAGGAAAAAACGTAACTCTGAAGATGAGCATATTCAAGATATTCAGAACCACATAGCTTAACCTGTGGTATCATAAAGCATAATCATTCAGCTACACTGCTAACTAATGGCCTGCTATAACAGTATAACAAGGAAATGTGGCACTCATGTTCTCAGAATTGCTAGTGTTCGAAACTCCTAGGGACAACCCATGAGCATGTGGCTGCAAGTAATATCTGGTGATTGGTTACTTCTTTAGGTGGTCTAGGGGACATGGAAAGCCACAAACACACTCATCCATTTATTACGCACATCCTAGTCAGAATATATGCACTCAGTTAGCTGTACATAGTTCAGAGACCAGGTGGGACTAATGTCTTCGTTTGTCTATTCTTGGGACTTTTGAACTCGCTAGGAAGTTCCCAGCAGTGAAGAGCAATTGCAATTTCTATTGAACTAGTAACCAAGCTCACTCGAAGAATTGAAGAGGATCCATAAAGGGATTTCTTCATTAGTTCGATAAACACCAATGAAAAATCAAACAGATTCGAATGGCTTGTCACAGGAATCAAATTGTAACCAAATCCGGTGGTTTTCTATACAGGTTACCACATCAAATCCAGAGTGGTTAACAGCCAAACAACAAAGATAGATAGTTGAAAGTTCCAAGGGGTCGAAAAACTCACCAGTCCATGTATGTGAAAGTTGACGAGTAGTTTCCAGATTTAGTATAAAGCAAGCGGTGATGATAATCATGAAAATCAGAACTGGAAATATGTGAAGGAGAAGTTAGAAATCATCGAATACGGACTTGATCAAATATACTACCAGAAAAGAGTAATAACAGTTTAAATATTCCAGATATCAATTGAGAAGGGAAAACTCACCCTCCATATAGAGGAAGAAAATTGGACAGGCTCCATGGAAAATGGTAACCTGAATGCACTTCAACTGTTTCAAGAACCCGAAGCACCATCCATAACCACAGCGTAGATAGATGCGGCCCAGTAATTGCAGGACCAATAATAGTAGCGAATCCAAGGAACAATATCTCAGCAGGGTGAGCATATTCAGATGTCAGACCAAATGGAGTAGCATACCTGCATATATGGTCAATTAGTCATCACCACTAATTTACACAACACCTCGGGATTCCATACGTGGGAACAGAACAAAACCGTCTAGTTCAACTTACTCATGATGGACACTGTGCACATGCTTGTACAACCATTTGGTATGTAAAATTCGATGTCCCCAGTAAAATATAAAATCTTCCAAGATGAAGTAGAAAAGTATCTGAGTTAGAACTACCCTCCTGCAGAATCAAA